CTAGTTGGCTAGCAAAGCTTTTGCACAACTTTATGTTGTGTTCCAGTTGTGCCCTTTCCTGGATTATGATGCCCTGAACTCAGTTACTCATGCCCTGGTTATCTCATGCTTGGATTACTGCAATGTGCTCTACATAGGGCTAACCTTGAAGCGTATTTGGAGCTGGCACAAAATGCAGTAGCATGAACAGTTTCAGGGGCCCTTACGGTGACTCATGCAACACCTCTGTTGCATGAGCTGCACTGGTGCTGGTTTGTTTCCAGATCCAATTTAAGGTGTTGATTATCACATTTAAAGTCCTTTTTGACAAGGGTCCAAGCTACTTGAGAAACCATCTCACCCCAGTGGAACTGGCCCACCCCACTTGTGCTTGCAGAAGAGGCATGCTGTGGATCCCATCAATCAAGGAGTTGCAGTTGGCAAAGTCCATGCCTCTCACTCTTTGGAACATCATCCCCTTAGAAGTGAGAATTGTCCTCACATTCTTGGTTTTCTGTAAGGGCCTGAAAACTTGGATATGTTACCTGCCTTGGAGTCCAGAAGGTATGTCATATTCTGGAGGTGGTTATAATGTTTCTATTTTAATTGTTTGCATTGCTTTTATGTTACTGTAAGCTACCCAGAGTTGCTCGATAGTGAGATTGGCAGCACACATTTAATAAATAATTAATAAATAAGATTAGAAAACCAGTAGAGAACTTTCAAACAGCTTGTGTAGAAGCTGTTAAAAGCAGGTAGAATAGGAAGAAGAATCAGAAGAGAAAAATATGGGAGCTGAAACCACACTGGTACCAGTGAAATTACATAGACTGGGGGTGGAGGAAGATTCATAGGACTATCTTGCTACGTTTGAGAGAGTGACTAGAACACAGGGCTGACCAAAAATGGATTGGTTCCATTTTTGCTGGAAGAGCCCTTTGAGTGTTCATGCAATTGCCAGTAGCTCAGGCAGGAAACAATGCTATGAGGGAGGCAATTGACCAACACTATCAGATTTACAGTTGAAAATTCTAGGTCTATGTGTTCAATGCAGAACAAGGCTTTCATAAATCATGGGCTACCCTGGAGGAGACAATTGCTAATTGGTGACAAGTGGATGTCCCAAGGAGAACTGTGTACAATTTATTACAGATGACAGTGTTAGAGTGATTCATGCAGATTCTACCTAGATCATTTCTGGGTATAGGAGCTGCAGAGAGATCACAATACAACTAATTGAGGGCTATGCAGCAGGTCAAAAAGCAGAGAAGACTGGAAGAGGTGTAGTAGCTGTTGACAAGAAGAAAGGAAGGCTGGTCCGGTTCCTGCACGCAGAGAAGCAGCTGAGGGATTCGGGATTCCGAGCCCTCCAGCTGAGTTTCTTCCTGTTAGGGGACCCTAAATGGGCCAGAGGCCGCCCGGAGAGGTGGCAATGAAGGAAGGAAGTCCCAGGGACCTAGGAGAGATGGCGGTCAACCCGATCGGTCCAGGAGAAGCCTTCCAGAAACCAACAGGAGAAAGGCTGGCTTAACTTCAGAGTCTAGCCCAAGCTGCAAGCAACGGAAGTCAAAAGCACTATTTTAAGCTGATCGTAAACAGTGTGCTTGAATGTGGGTAAGAACATTGATTTTCTCTATCCTACCTACTTTCCTGAAGGGGAGAAACTCCCAAGAAGCAAAAAAAAAAAAAAAAAAAAAAAAAAAAAAAAAAAACCCTCCAAGAGTGGGGGTTTTTCTCCCACCCTTTTGCTACCAGAAGCAGCGAACTTAACCTTTCATGGAGGAATAAAATCTGAAAAATGAACCAGTGCTGACACTTACTGGTGGATGAGGATTATGACAGTCATGGTAAAATCCGGGGGGGGGGGAAACTAATCTTTGCCTGTGACCTTCAAAGCTTTACAAATAAAGAACCCCCAGAGATCCGGGTGATTCCGGATCTCCCCTCCTTCCGCCGCGCCCTCAAGACATGGTTATTTAAGTTAGCAGGACTGGCCTAAGGGTTATTTTAATTTGGTTTTAAAATAATTTAAAAAAAAAAATTCGAATTTTCAGCCTTAGAATAATATTTCATTTTAATTAATATTTTAAATTTTGTATTTTTGTATTCAAGTATTTGTTTTTAAATGGCTGTAAGCCGCCCTGAGTCCGTAGGGAGAAGGGCGGGGTAGAAATACAAGAAATAAATAAATAAATAATAAATAAATACTTACAAACTTGAAGGAACAAAAACAAAACAAAACAAAAAACTTTTTTTTAAAATTCTCTGGACTATAAGTATTTATTCAATTCTGACTCGAAAGCTATTTCCAAAGGGGGGGGGAGGAAGAAGGGAAAAAATCTGGACTTTTGGTCATCATGAAAAATCAGAGATTTACAAGAAATACTTATCAAGAAAAAAATGAATATTTTTCAAGAGGAGATATATGTTAGGCTGCAACTAATTCAAAGAACAATGATCTCAAATCACAAATGAACTCAGAATAATTTTGAAAATATAAATCAAGTCATCTCCAATTCAGTTTTATACCAAAAAAAACCCTCAGGAAAATACAGCAGAGAAGGAACAGACAAAACAGATGACTGAACATAAATTGGAGGATAGAGACTTGAAGATGGAATTCTACAAAACAAAGGAGTATGATCTAATCCAAGTAGGAAAAAATTTACAAGAAATACTAGATTTGGAAAAGACAACTTATATTTTCAACACTACAAAATAAACTTGAGGACAAGAAAAAAGACTGGATAAAACATTCTACAGAGACATCAGAGAAAACACCAGAACTGAAGAGACAAAAAGCGACAAGAGAAGCAGAGAGAAAAAGAAGGAAAAAAATTCCCAATAAAAAGGAGTGGGCAAATGCCCCTAACAAAGATATTGATTTACTTTTTATATCTACAACAACATTTGTGAACATATGGAAAAACCCTTTGATTCAGCAAAATACATTGATTAAGAAAGATACTGGGCAAAGGAAAAAAGATTAAGGTGGAAACCAAGAAAATAGATGATGGGACTTATCAGAGAGAATACTTAAAAAAGAAACATTTGTTTGAATATGGTTAAAGAAATAGAAATTTTTTGGAATATACTATTCTAAGAGGGATGAATCCTCTAAATAATATAGTATGCTTTTTCCTCTTTTGTGTTCTTTTTCTTGATATGAGTAATATAAAAAAGTTGAAATGATTTAAATAAAAGAAATGTTTTAGATACTTAAATGTGACTGAATTAAAAAAATTATAAAAAAATGTTTTGAATAAGAGTTAAAGGACTAGATGACTAGATGTATTGAACGGAATGCTTAAAGATTAAAGATCAAATATATTCTTAATTATGGTTAAAAAGAATAAGAAATTAAGGAAATAAATATGTATTAGCCTAGGAGGGATGTATATTTTAAGTAGTATGTTATTTCTTATGTTTCTTTACTCTTGTTTTCCTTTCTTTTTCTCTTCTCTTTTTTCTTTTTTTCCCTTTTCATTTTTTTATCTATTTCTTAAGAAATGTAAAAGTGTGAGATGGCTTATATGGAAAAAATAGAATAAAATTTGTAAATGTAAATGTAATAAATCTTTGACAAAATCTTCACCAGTAAGAATATCTAGAATTTGTTGGGAGAAATAAACTAAAATAAGGATTGTAACAGGATCTATGATAAGGCAACCAGAATGATTGAATAAAAAAGAAATATTATACTAATATGATTATTATTTTTAGGAATATTGGAAAAAAATTATACATTCAATTGTGATTTATCAAAACAATAAGAATTGTATTAACTCAATGTTTGCAAAAGAGGTTGCTTTGGGGAAAGAGGAAATCAACTAAAATTAATATGTGGAATATGGATTATAGAAATTGTTAATGATTGTTTTATAAATGTAACCCAGACAACACACTGTTTACCAATTATTGACTGATTTATGTTTTTTTTAAAAAAATCAATAAAATATATTAAAAAGAAGAAGAAGAAAGGAAGGCTGGGAGAAAATCAAATTCCCCTCCTCCCCAAAAGAACAAGCATTTTCTTCTCAGAAAGGTGAAGTACCAAGAAATACCCCCAAGGGAGATAAAGGAACATTAAATAAGATAACTCCCATTAAATGTTCCAAATGTCAGAAATCTGGACAAGGAAGTAAAATGTGCCCAAAGAAGAAAGTGCAAACACCTAATTATGCGAGGTTTCAGACAACTGCAAGGTCCTGGCCATGGACCCAGTCAAGCTCAAGGACACCACTACAGGTAGTCCTCAACTTACAACCATTTGTTTAGTGTCTGTTTGAAGTTACAATGGCACTAAAAAAAGTGACTTACAACTGTTTTTCACCTTTACGACCATTATACAGCATCCCCCCCATGTGATCAAAATTTGGAAGCTTGGAAACTGCCTGTATATATGATAGCTGCAATGTCCCAGTGATTGCCTTTTGCAACTTTCTGACAAGCAAAGTCATGGGGAAGCCAGATTCACTTAACAACCGTGTTACTAATTTAACAGTGGCAGCGATTCACTTAACAACTGTGCAAATGGGGCAAACTCATTAACTTGTCTCACTTAGCGACAGAAATGTTGGGCTCAATTGTGATCATAAGTTGAGAACTACCTGTATGCAGGCTCTAGATGACACAGGAAAACACAGGGAAAAGCAATCAGAGAATGCAGGGGAATGTTGATCCAGAAAGGAAGCATCTTTGGAGACAAAGGAAAATATCCATTATAGAACAAGTGATATAGAATGTCTGAAAATCACTGCTATGCTGGGAGATGTCAATGGTCACTTGATATGGTGTTGGAGATGAACATATCTATAATTGGGGAAGTGCTGGCTAGCATACTAGCAGTCTTTCAAGTAGCTCAACTGACACACACCCAGTGCTTTTTTTGTAAAAAAAAAAAAAAAAAAAGGTGCCGGAACTCACACACATCGTACAACCCGCCTTGCCTACCCTACAAGGTTCCATCCAAAAAAGGTGCCGGAACTCCGTTCTGGGCGTTCTATGAGAAAAAAAGCCCTGCACACACCCAATTCAGGCACAATGGGAAAGCTAGACCCAAAGAAAGCCGCTGAGGTAACTACAAATATCACAGCCAAAGGGAGGCATAAAATTCATCTGCAAAAAGCAGATCTGTCTTTATAAGACTGTTGGAAGAAAGCCTTGCCTAATGACATGATGTGCAAAGATAAGCTAGTTTTTGTGTGAAGAGGAATGCTAGTGAGGCCCAGAAGGGTCCCAAATACAAAAAAAGTGAGGGAACAGGCAATTGTGCCAAAGAAATTCAGAGTTAAACTGACCATCTGGCACTTTATGGATTACCCAGATATGCTTTTTAACTTGAAACCTCCCCTCTGATATCTCAAAGCAAACCACAAGAAAGTTATAGGCTGAGAAAAGTTTTGATTTCTGCAAAGCATCAAAATAACTTAGTTCAAAATACATAGATTTGCTGTGTGATCCTAATGAGGCTGAAACAGCACTGATTTTCCTCACCTGAGCCACATACTTTGGCTGTACATACTTATTTTCACAGTTAATCAATTTTCTTTCAATGGCATATCCCATCTCTTCTGTGGGATATGCATCTTCATGCATCTGAGGTTATGGTGAAAAGAAGAGGAGCTCATCTGTTGCTAATAGGCTTGTCTGTTTTGGTTTCTCTAAACTTTTCACAATGGTCTGTGGAGAATGCATTTTGTTCGCTCTCTGTCCTAGTTTCAGTCAAGAAGCCCTGACCTTCAGCTAGTACCTGTCTCACAGTCATATTAATACGGGATGTTTCCAAATATCTGGCACAGGTTTGCCAATCGTCATCGGAGCAGGGCTCAACCACAGAGTCTGCAGGCAGGTCAGCAGAGAGAGGTAGCTCTAAGGAAGATGGCAAAGGCTTTCCTTCTAGATTGGGAAAGATCTTGGGAACTGCGTGATACAGAAGGCGACTGAAACCAGACATTATCATAATGTCTCCACTATGTGTGAACAGGGCCACAGGGGTTTCATCTCGTTTCAATCCTCCCAGCAGAAATATGGATGACTGTCCAAAGCTAGGAAGTTAATACAGAAAAAAAGAAAGAAGAGTTATTAAAACTATAGCTACAGACAAATATGGGGCAACTTCATACTTTTTCAAGGATATTCTCCTTTTAGTAAGCTATTCAGAAGCTTCATTATAATTAAGGACATTGAAACCACCAGGCCTATATCATATTGGCTCTTGTTTTTTACAAAGTATTAATTTACAAAAAAAACCCTTAAAATCTAACATTATTTGTCAGAGCATGTAGTCTTATTGCACTGAGATAACCGAGGAGTAAACACAGTAAACAGAGGTCTATATTAAATGGTGGTTTATCAGGAGGTACGCCTTTATTGCTACATTCAATGGTATCATCTGTTCCTGTGTTTCTGTTATTTCTCTCTTTACCTCAGGTCTATCCTCTTCTATTCCTACTATTTCCGACCTGCTATCCTGTCCTTCCTTCATTGGGATTTGTGTAGCTTCTCCTTCCTGAGAATTAGCGCTACGTGTTGGCATGAATACCTCGGTGTTAGCATGCAACCTGACCCAATTGTTTTGTTCTGCAAACTAGCAGACCTTGAAATCACAACCTTTTTTGTTCCATCTGTGAATCTATACCCTTTGGAACCTGGCTCATATCCAACAAACCTAAGTTTCCTGGCCTTTTTCTGTCCTTTCCTTCCGGTACTTTTGGGAATATGTACCCAGGCATAACTGTCAACTGTCCTTAGGTGAGCCAATGAAGGTTTCCTTCCATATAACAGGAAATATGGAGTTTCATTGATAGCAACGCTCCATACCATTTACCAAATAGTTGGCTGTTTTCATGGCTTCCCCCCAGTACGTTTTACTCATTCCTGCATCTGCCAACAGTATTTCATGTTTTGCAATACACCACTCCTCCGTTCAGCCACACCGTTTTCTGCAGACGAGTATGGGTTTGTACGTCTATGCCTTATGCCTAAATTCCTCAGCCACATTTGGAAGTTGTCAGACATGAACTCTGTTCCCCTGTCTGTTTGCAGCTGGCCATAGGACCAATTAAATCAGCGTGCACTAACTGCAAAACTCTGTTTGCCTTGAGCTTTTCTTAGTTACAGGATAGACTCTGGACTTTGACTTACCAATAGCGCAATCTAAATATGTGTTGCATTAATTTTAGGGGAGGTTTCAAGTTAATTTTAACCCCTTCAGCTAGGTCTGGCATCCTTTGTAGCACTCTAAAACTTGCACGACCTAATTATGTATGCAATTATTATGTGTGGGAGTGTTTGTAAGTGTTCATGCACAATCATCCTGCTTCTTTCCTAACATGTATAAATTATCCAGCTTAATACCTTGTGCACAAATCCTCCCACCTTTCCTAATGGTGTATTAACCCTTTGCAAACAGTACTTCATACCCCATGTTATCCAAGCTCGAAATACTGAGTAAATTATGGTCTAACTGTGGTACATATAATACATTATCCATTTCTCCTATACCAGTTACATAAACTTTACTTTCCCTTTTAACAGCAGACTGTTGTCCATTTGCCAAGCTACAAATGTTTGTTTAGCTGGTCCTAGGTTTGAAAACATTTGTGGGTCATTTGCAATATGCTGATGCAACACCCAAGTGTTTTCTCCATTAAAGTTGCTGCCAGGGAAAATGTTGGTTGTGTAGTTCTACGATCATGTTTCGCTGCTCCTCTGTTTCTCCTCTCAGGGCATTCCAGACAAATTGATCTTCTTAAAAACCTCTAGTGATGGAGCACCACAACTTCTGGAGGTAAGCTGTTCCACTAATTAATTAATATCCCTTCAAAATTTCAAATGTACCCACCAACTTGGAGACCCCTAAGTAAACAGGCTGAGTGGTAGAGTTCGTGTAGATATATCATAAAATTATGTGAGGCAAATAAAATGTGCCACTGCAAAAAGAAAGATCAAGATAAAATGAAATAAATAAAATGCTACTATTTTGGCTTTCATATAGTATAGCTACCCTTTGGCCCAAATGCCTAGTTTAAACCTTCATTCGTATATCTAGTTAGTATATCCAGAAATGTAGGTCTGCACCTGTCAGAAGAATGTGTGAAATATACATATCTATACATCTAAAAATATTTGCTCTGCTTACCTGAATGATAAAAGAGGTGGAGAAAAGTCCAGTTCAGATTCATCCACATGAATTCCTAAAGATGAATCAAAGTGATAATAGTTCAGGATCCCTGCTTCTGCTTGGAAGTTGGGAAATCCACAAGCTTTAGACACTTGCTTTGACAGGAAAGCCAGATCAGATGGGAAGGAGGTATAGTTATCTGCTGAATATTTCTAGTTGAAAGAGCAAAAAAGTTGCAAATAGAATTTTTAAGTAATGAAGCCAGCGTATAAGGAATGTTTCAAAGTGATTTAAATTTAAATTATGCTACTTTTTAATAATCTAAGGTGAACTTCAGGTTACCATCTGGCTTAAAGCCCAGAATGCCAAAGTTATAGAAGGAAAATAATCAGATTTCTTTATTGCAAACTCAAGTATAACAACTCTTTAAAATATGAAGTGTTATTATCTGAATCAATTTCTCTCTGTTCTAGTTTACAAGGTTAGTTAAATGTTTTTAACTGAAACAGCAATTTTGCAGCGTGACTTAACTAATTTTCTCAACTGTGACTTAAAGCAACTTCAGAGCATCAATGTATACTGTGTCCTCATAGTTGTTTTTGTCAACAATGCTTAAATGACTTAAGACAGGTTATATAATTAGCAGTTTTTGTAACATGCCATAAGATCGGCCCCTCTTTACATTATTAGGGCCCAGAATTTTGTACTTAGAAGGTTGGTAAGAGGTCAGTTTCTTATGAAGACCAGACAATAAAAAACTCAAAGCTCATTGAGTTAACCTTGTCTGTAGCTGGCTGATAAAGAATGTTTTCTTTTTAGTCCAGGTTTATATTCTGAATAGAATATTTAGGGTTTAAAACCCTGATGTCTGATTGTTGCCCTTGGTGCCATCCACAGAAAAAATAAAAACAAATATTTGCTGTCACATCTTTTAGGAGGTTCTATTGCCCCTTGCATACCTTTGTATTCCAGTTATAGTGGTAACCTAGAGTTACCCAGCGCAACTTTTCCAATAAGCTTTTTGGCTGTGATTTAGTGGCACTTTGGTTTCTAAAAAGACAAAGAACAACATAATCACAAGCAGTTTCAGTTATAAAAAGCTTTGCGTAAGTTTGCTATGGAAAAGTCACCTTATAGGAGAGATGGACGGCATAAAAAATTAATAAATAAAATAAAATGAAATCACTGACGTGGTTCTAAATAAAGCTGGTCAAAAATTTTTAATACAGGTAGTCCTCGACTTATGACCACAATTGAGCCCCAAATTTCTGTTGCTAAGTGAAACATTTGTTAAGCAAATTTCTCCTCATTTTACAACCTTTCTTGCCGCAGTTATTAAGTGAATCACTATAATTGTTAAGTTAGTAACATGGTTAAGTGAATCTAGCTTCCCCATTGCTTGTCAGAAGGTTGCAAAAGGTGATTTATAATAGTAGTAGTAGTAGTAGTAGTAGTAGTAGTAGTAGTAGTAGTAGTAGTAATAAAGTTGGGAGGGACCTTGGAGGTCATCTAGTCCAACCCCCTGCCCAGGCAAGAAACCCTATACCATTTCGGACAAACAGCTGTCCAGTCTCTTCTTAAAAACTTCCAGTGTTGGAGCATTCACCGCTTCTGGAGGCAGGTTGTTCCATTGGTTAATTGTTCTAACCGTCAGGAAGTTTCTCCTTAGTTCTAGGTTGCTTCTCTCCTTAATTAGTTTCCATCCGTTGCTTCTTGTCCTGCCTTCAGGTGCTTTGGAGAATAGCTTGACTCCCTCTTCTTTGTGGCAGCCCCTGAGATATTGGAACACTGCTATCATGTCTCCCCTCGTCCTTCTCTTTGTTAAACTAGACATACCCAATTCCAGCAACCGTTCCTTATATGTTTTAGCCTCCAGTCCCCTAATTATCTTTGTTGCTCTTCTCTGTACTCTTTCTAGATTCTCAACATCTTTTTTACATCGTGGTGACCAAAACTGGATGCAGTATTCTAAGTGTGGCCTTATCAAGGCATTGTAAAGTGGTATTAATACTTCATGTGATCTTGATTCTATCCCTCTGTTAATGCAGCCCAGCACTGTGTTGGCTTTTTTTGGCAGCTGCAGCACACTGCTGGCTCATATTTAGGTGATTGTCCACTAGGACTCCGAGGTCCCTCTCACAGTTACTACTATTGAGCAAGGTAGCCCCTATACTATACCTGTGCATTTGGTTTTTCTTGCCTAAATGTAGAACATTCCTTTTTTCACCATTGAATTTCATTTTGTTAGATAGCGCCCAGTGTTCAAGTCTGTCCAGATCCTCCTGTATCTTAAGTCTGTCTTCTGGAGTGTTGGCTATTCCTGCCAGCTTGGTGTCGTCTGCAAATTTGATGAGTTCCCCTTCTATCCCCTTGTCCAAATCCAGTCTGGTTTTTTTTGTCCTCAGATTTATTTTGTAGTCTTAAGGGATGAGTTGTTTTTTCCATTTCTTGTAAATTTTTTCCCACTAGGATTAAATCATGTTTTCTTGCTTTGTTAGGTTTCGTCTTTGAGTCTCTATTTTCAATTTTATGTCCACTTATTTGTTTTTTCTGCTCCTTCTCTGTTGTTGTTTTCTGGAAGTTTTTTTGTTGTAGAATTAACTTAGAAATAGATTGATTTATATTTTCAAATTTATTTTGGATTTCTTTGCGATTTGAACTCACTGTTATTTGAATTAATTGCAATATACTATATATCTCCTCCTGAGAGGTATTTATGTTTTCTTGGTGTGTTCTATCTACATGTCTCTGATCTATGATGGCCAAAAGTTGAAGTTTTCCTTCTTATCTGCAAATAGCTTTAGAGTCCCGGTTAGATATTTGTAATCCAAAGAGTTCAGAAAAGATTTTTTTCCCTAAAGTTTATAATTCTCTCTTTGACTGCAGCCCAGATTGTTGTCTTTTTTTTGTTTGTCACAGCTGTTCTTTGTTATTAAAGCTTTGAAGGTCACAAACACAGATTAGCTTTTCCCAGGTTTTGGCAAGTTCTCTATGGAAATCATAACTGTCATAATCTTCATCCACTACTAGGTGTTAGCATCTATTTAGTTTTCAATATGAACAATGGCCTTTAAAATGAGAATCTTAACCATTCAACAATTTTAAACTTGTCCAAAATTAAATTTTAGCTTTCAAGTTTATAAATTTATTTCACTACCATATATTTTGATCCTCCATGGAAATTTTAATTCACCACTTCTGTTAGTATAAGGGTGGGGCGGAAGTCCCCCTCCTTCACTTTCGTAGGTATTTTGCTCTTGGGGATCTTTTCCAGGAAATTAAGTGTAGAATAGAAAAGGGAAAATCAGATTCCTCACCCAGTTTCAAGCACACTGTTTACTGTTGTGTCCTCCCATACCACAATTTTCTGCTTAGCAAGGCAGTTGCCAGTCCCAATTGTGGTTAAGCAAGGACATGTAAATGTCATAGATAGATAGATAGATAGATAGATAGATAGATAGATAGATAGATAGATAGATAGATAGATAGATAGATAGATAGGCAGGCCTTCTCCACTCCATATCCTACACAATGGGCCTCTTAAAAAAGGTTTATCTTCCATAAGACTTGATAGGTCCATAGAACTTGATAAATGGGAATTTTCCCATTTATTAAGGAAACACACCAAAATATGCAGTTTATGACTTGTGGAGAAGGAAAACTGAAGTCAGCTTGGTTGAAAGTGGAGCCAACAACTGTAGATAATGAAGAGCCAGTGAATAGATTGGCTCCTTGATAATTCCTCTCTGGATAAGGAGAAACTTGAAATTGCCCCCAAGAGCTCTAGACATTTGCTTCTTGTGTTGAGACTGAAAGACAGTGGGGTTTACAACTCTAGCAGACAAGGGAATAATAGCCTTCTTGCTCAAACTATGTTGGGCATCTTTAAGAATGTTGGGTTTGCATACTTCCTTTTCTAATCACTTTCATAAATTGCTCATTAACTACTTTTTGATTATTAAAAATTTAGAATAGAATAGAGCTGGAAGGGACCTTGGAGGTCTTCTAGTCCAGCCCCCTGCTCATGCAGGAGAACCTATACCAGTGATGGCGAACCTTTTAGAGACTGAGTGCCTAAACTGCAACTCAAAACCCACTTATGCATCGTCGAGTACCGGGTGGGTGTGGCCCATTGGCTGGGCGTGGCCCATTGGCTGGGCGTGGCTGCGGTGGTAATGGGAGACTGGGACTAAAAAGTTCAATCAATTCCAACTTTGCAAGATCTTTTTTTTTCCCACGAAAAATTGAAATTGACTGAACTTTTTTTTTTTGCACACGGCAGTGGAGGACTAAAGCAAAAAGGGTTTATAAAACCCAGCTAAATGCCTAGGACTGGGGCGATGCCGCGTGTGCCCACAGAGAGGGCTCTGACCTATACCATTTCAGACAAGTGACTGTCTAGTCTCTTCTTAAATATCTCCAGTGATAGAGCGCCCAGATTTCTGAAGGCAAGCTATTCCACTGGTTAATTATCCTCACTGTTAGGAACTTTCTCCTTAATTTCTCTCTTCGATCAGTTTCCAACCATTGTTTTTTGTCCTGCCTTCTGGTGCTTTGGAGAATAATTTGACCCCGTCTTCTTTGGATTGACAAAAATCTGAAAACACCAGGTGAGCTTCCTTCAATCCTCAGCGAAAGAGCATTGAATGCAGGTTACATTGTTTTTTAGCAACTGACTTATAGGGCTACAAAAAAGTAATTGAACTATCATGGTGGCCATACTTGCAAATTCAAACGAGATATGAAAAAGATGCTAAAACAACGGGATTTTATAAAGAACAGACAGAATTTGACCAGATACTGCTAAAAACAGATGAAAAATTGATTAAGAAGTTCTATAAATATTTGTTAAACTTAAAGATGGAAGAGGAACAAGTAAAAGAAGCAATGATAACATGGGCAAAGAACTTTGGACATAATATAGAATTAGAAAATTGGGAAAGATTATGGGGAAAAAAATGCTAAATTAACAAAAGCGGTGGCTTACAAAGAAAACTTATACAAAATGTTTTACAGATGGCATCTTACACCGGTGAGATTAGTGAAAATGTTCAAAAATACATCAAATAAGTGTTGGAAATGTAAATAAAAACCAGGTACTTATTATCATATCTGGTGGACATGTTCTAAAGCTAAAAGATTTTGGTCAAAAATACACATATGGTTGGAAAAAAATGATTAAAAAACATATAGATTTCAAGCCAGAACTGTTTCTGTTAGACATAATAGGAGGAAACTATGAGAAAGATTGTATATACCTAATTTTACATGTATTAACTGCAGCAAGAATTGTATTTGCCCAATATTGGAAAAATGAAAACTTACCAACGGAAGAAGAACTAATTAAGAAAATATTAAAATGTGCAGAAATGGACAGATTGACATTAAAGATAAAAGAGAAAGAAGACTGTGTACTTTAGAACATGAGACAATTTTTACCAATGGCTAGAAAAGCGAGTTAGAGAGAAAGGAACATGATATGTACTATGTAACATAGAATATATACTAGTAAGAAAAAGACTATGGAGCGATTAACATATTGATTATGATAATATAGAATTAACTCTTACTTATTGTTTTTTAAATATATGAACCCAGACAATATGCTGTTTGCTAAATATTAAGAATGTTATTTTTAAAAAACCCAACCCTAATCCTAACCCTACATAAATTAATAAAATATATACAAAAAAAGTAGCTGTAACTTACAAGAATCAACAGCACAATGGCTATTGTGTTGTTTTACCAAATATGTTATGAGATAACTCAGACAGGACTTACCGAAGCTGAAATTTACTCTTCTCCCAGATATCAGTAATTTCCTCAGAAGACATATGCATATCCAAATTGCACACATTAGGTTTCTGAGTATATTTCTTTAGACATTGCTTCACCCAATGGCACTGAGAGCCCGGAAGAAAGGGATTATTAATATAAATGAATCCTAGATAAAAATAAAAATGGATGAAAAAAAATATAGATGTGGCCTGCCCCGGATATTTAAATTATGAACACTGAAAAAAACAGAAACACAAGTATTATAACATATCTCTTCCAAAAATGTTGCATACATTATCAGTTGTTCTATTGACTAAATTTAGATATCCCAAATATGCTCACCTGGATAATTATCTAGACCATAAGCTTTCCACTGTGTAACTGGATGTAATCCTGCTCTGTAGGCATCTTGATCACTTACTGAGATTAACTTCAGAGGACAGCTGACTACCTAGTTAAAAAAAAATATTGAATATCAGATACCCAGAAAGATATTCATAGATTCTTATTGAAAAGGTAAAGTAAAAAGTAAAAAGAAGTAAAAGAACCAGAAGTAAATACTACCAACTCTACCCATTCCTCAGAAGGGTAAAGGGATGTAGCAATAATTTTGATGAAGAAAACATCAAGCCTTTTAAGTGAAGTGAAATGGCAACTGAGTCTGGGAAAACGGAAAGTGTGAGAAAAAATTCAAAATAACTTGTCTTGATTCTGTTTGATGTAAAATGAGACAAAGAGAAACTCTGACAGCCTGTCAAAATTCTATTATAACTTACAAAGCTTCCTGGAATCTTTGTGTTGTCTATTTCTAGACCTGATTTCACAACCATGAAATTAACCTTATATTTGTATGTGCTTAAAATGTATCAAAGAATCCCAGTTTGGTATAGAAGTTAAAGCACCAGGCTAGAAACTGGAACATTTTGAGTCTAAACACAGCTGGGTGACCATGGCCAGGCACTGTATCAGCCTTAGAAAGAAGGCAATGGCAAACCACTTCCAAAATCTTGCCAGGAAGACTGCAGGGACTTTGTATAGGTCAAGGGTGTCAAACTGCTGGCCCATGGGTCAGATGCATCGTAGCGAAACCACGCCCACCCCACTGCCGCAATGGCAAAAAAGTCACGATATGTCGCAACATGTCATGTGACATTGCAAGTTTGACACCCCTGGTATAGGCAGTCACCAGGAGTCAACACTAACTCAAAGGCAAATACTTTATTTATTTAAAATATCACAAATGTCCCAGTAACTCATGATTATTACTTGGATTCTGAATGCTTGTAAACCACATATATTAAAACATGCAATATATGCTGAATTTCAGCTTTTCAAAAGCGATGTAACATTGACTTTCATGATATGAAAATTGTCAAGTACCAGAAAATAAATAGTACTTATTTATTAGGAACTCTGAGGAAGTTTATTACATTTTATTCCTGATTCAGTAGTAAGAAAATTCAATCTGAAATCACAATGTTCTGACAAATAGCTTGCTTTTCTTCCTGCAAATAATTTGATATTTATAATAGCTATTAACTCTGGAAATGCTAAAACCAGTAAGCCACAATTTATATCCTGTGATAGGCCAGAATTCCACTCTGAATGGGATAATGGATAAACATCCAACTCGTGCAGATATAGGATTTTAACTTAAATTACAAATTATGCTAGAGAATAAGTAGGTAATCCTATAATCCGAACAGTTTACTTTCTATCTCAGAAAGTCTCTTGGGAGAATTGTACCTATGCTGCATTCATTACTTTATTAACTGAGGACTAATTCACCTGCCCAAGTACTGGTGCAAGTCAGAAAACAATACTTAGTAGTAATTTTAAATATGTTATTGTTAATTAAATTAAAAGGGATCTTTTGTTATTGAAGACAGGACTTAATCCTTATCAGGCTGCAAATATCAGGTACATCAATAATTTTCTCTTCAACAGATAAATTCTATCCATCTTGAGAAGATAATGGGATCAGGATACAAAAAGAAATATGCAAAAGGTTTTTCTTTTGATAATACAAAACTTGTTTCAAAAAATAAGAACCTGTTGTGGGAAGTCAACCCTCCCCCTCCGAGAAAGAAATATTTTTGGAAATATTTAAAAGACAGAATATATTTCCCTAAAGGATTTTAAAGGTAGAAACCAACCCCACCCCCAAGTCTCTCTGTCCCAAACAGAAACCAAGTCTGCAAAATGTAGGTTATAATCTTGTCAGAAAGACTGGAGTCAGGAAACAGGGATTAGGAAAAAAGATCCTTAGAATCAACACCAAAAATCTAAGAGTCATCAGCCTTTTCTTATCCTCTGTTCTCCATGCCTTTGTCTGCCTCTCCTGGGAGAGTCCACCCAGAAAGGGGGGAGGAGATCTTGTTCTCATGTCTTTCAGCCCTACACAGATGACCCCCCAACCTTTGGAAGCAAAGCACACTGACCCAGACGCTGCCTCCATCCATTTGAGCCATGGAATTGGGTTTGAATCTAGCCATCCACTAAAAAGCCACCATGCAACCTGAGTGGAACAGATCTTCCCAAGTCCTACCATTCTCCCAGATGCCTGTGAAAGCTGCAAAGGAAGGAAGGAGCCCTGGAGCCATTGGTCCTCACGTGAAGCCTCAGAAGAAAACTAGGAAGACTATGGGGGGAGGGTGGAAACTCATTGTAAGGTTTTCTTTCTTGACCCATTTGTGTTGTAATTAAGGAGTTGAATGTATTTATGGAGTGATGGCATTTGGGAATAGTTGGTACAGCAAGTACTGAACACCTTGGATTTCTATCTGGTGGGAGGAAAATTTATCCAGAATGTTTGTATTGCCTGTTTTGTATTAGTAGCTGCACACACACACACACACCATTCATAATCACACTGAGTCTTTCCCCTCCACCTACCTTCTGTAAAATTCCAGCCTGATTCTTTCCCTGTGTCATTAAAACTTTGTAGGAACAACTTCCAGCAAATTCCTAGTGGGAGGGAACCAGCCCCCCTCAGGCAATTTGCAATTCATATGCCCTGACTGAGGAAGTAGCAGGAAAGAGATCTCCAAACCTAAGCCCTGAATATCTTGCACTGGTGGACTCAGATTGGGAGTTCTAGGACTCACTATGTGCAATTTAAGAACATTTAATAGCCTGGCTTGCATATTGGCTAACCTCAATTGGACATCACTAACCTGGATGAACTGAGCTAAGGCAGGAAACAACCCTTGAAAATGGGCAGCCAGTGGTTATGTACTGAGGCAAACCATGACTGAAGAATTTTGAGAGGCATGTGCTTCAAAACCTGACTGGAAGCTCAAAGTGACATCCAACATTTAAAAAGAATTGGCATAGAATATTAGACACTATAAATTTCTTTTCCATTGAACAGAACTTTTGCCCTGGCTTTAGACCTTCATGGCTGAACTTTATTAGTGCCTCCTTTTTTTTGGCTTAACAGTTTAAAGCTTGTTTACCAAATCTCCCTGACCAGATCAATTTTAATCTTATGCCAGTAAAAGTGTGTTATCCACACTATTATGGCACAAAGGGGGTGAAAGGAATAAAGTATTATTCAGAAATTTCTAATGAGTTGAAGCAGAAGCCAACTGAAGATCAGAAATAATAATAATAATAATAATAATAATAATAATAATAATAATA